GTGTCAGGGCAGAAAAATGACCGTACCCCGAGGTGGAGTTCGCACATCGAGGTAAATTTTTCCGGCCGGAGCTGTTCGTAACCCGAAAAGTTAGTAGAGGCGTTCGTATCCCGAGGTACCACTGTACTGTAAATAAATGAAATATGAAACTAGACTCTTTATTTCTATACCCAGTTCTGCTTCTTCACATGGCATGCTGACACTGCATATTCAAAACATGCTGTTTTCCATCAGGACTGAAAATCATGAATATAACTTCTTAACTTATTTTAGATCGTATCCACTGGAGAGAACCTGAAGAAGTCAGAGCATGATGCTAGAATGTTTTCCTGAGAGAAATGCAAATGCGATGTCTCTTGGAAGCTGGTTAGATGAAAAGGCAGCCTTGGTTTATTCATACTATGTTATCTTTTCCAAAAATTTTACAATGGTGTAGGCGTTTGGATTACACCACCCAGTAATGTCAATAAGTCATCAGTGATGCACAATAACATGTTCTAGGCAACATCTACACCAAAACCTTTTGAAGTGTGTTCTGTGTCAAGGTGTATTAAATCTCAAAACAAATGGAGGTGGTATTCATTGGAAACAAAAAAGTGTTGTGAGTCACAAAGCAACAGGGAGGGAGTGACATTAGTGGACCATTTTCCCAAGCAAGCCAACAAAAATAAATGAGAAATTTCAGCCACTGTTCCAAGCAGATGATGCATCCTCTGCTTTTTGAATGATGGGGAAAAGTTTATAAAGTAAAATTGCATTTTGCTTCCACTTACTTCATAGCTACCCTGAGAAACATTCCAGATAGGTCTTCTTCACATTTTAGTTTCAGGAATTCAGAAAAAACAAATCCTGAATTAAAAGGAAAGACAGGACCAATTCATTACCTTTATTTTTGGTTTACCTTCCTCTAAGCTTAATGTGTTGTACCCAGTCTTTTCCTCTTAATATCTTTATTAAATACAGGTAGTCTTCACTTAACAACCACAATAGGGACCAGAAAATTGGCTGTTAAGTGGAGCGATTGTTAAGTGAATTGGACCTGATTCTACAACATTTTTTTGTAGTGGTCATTAAGTGAATCACATGGATCCCCATTGATTTTGCTTGCCAGAAGCTGGCTGGGAAGGTCGCAAATGGAAATCATGTGATCCCGGAATGCTGGTCCATTGTAAGTGTGAGCTGGTTGCCGAGTGCTTGGATCATGATCACATGACTGTGGGGGTGCCGGGACGGTTGTAACTTCAGGCACCGGTCATAAGTCATTTTTTTTAGCACCATTGTAACTTTGAATGGTCACTAAATGAATGGTTGTTAAGTGAGGATTACATGTAACAAGCAAGGAACTGGCAAGGTTTAATAGTGACCATTCAAGGTCACTATTAAAGTGTCAATGAGTTTCACACTTCCTGAGAAACCAGGCCTCTCTATCCCTAACAGTCTTGCAAAACATAATGCCTTTCAGACAATATTGGGCTATAACTGCATACATTCCAACCAGCTTCTGCTTTTGTGGGAGAAGGCAGGAAGACAGCTTCTAAAGAAAAGACAGGCAAACTCAACTAGAACCACAACAGAACCACTGAGCTTTCATATCAGCAAGCACAGAGGAAGTTTAAGGTTTGCAGACATAAAAAAAAGAGGCTCATAAATCAAATCTAGATGTTACAAAACATCCTAATGAGAATTCAGCACATTCAAAACCACACAATATTCAGTGTTAATTAGAAAAGAAAAATGTAAAATGGAATGAGTGAGTGAGTGAGTGAAATGGAATATCCTGGAGGATGACATAATAGAGCTGTGTACTGGAGCACTTCAGTTAAAAGCTGTGGAAACACCGCAGCATGCTATTCAAGTTCCACTTACACTTTATAATATTTAGCATTTATTGAGTGAGTTTGGGTCTTTAAAACATTCTGTGTGATTGTGAGGACTGAAACTGGGAGGGCTGGAAAAAAGAGCCTGAAACCAGATGTTACAGGATGCAGGACTGAGAAACAAGTGGCCAGAAGTCTATTACCATGCAAGGATAGGAGAAAAAAACACAAGATTTAAAGAGGGCTTGATACTGCAGCAGCTTATCATCATTAGGGCTTCTTGTATCTGCAATACAGTATAAGCAACTTACCTATCCAAGTTCCCAAACAATGATTTCTTGCTGAGCTTTGGGTGAAAATCTAAGGGGACAGTCTTAAAACAAAGGCTAGCTGTTCAAGACTGGTTGCAAAAGTCAACAGCATCATGTCCTGCTATTTTGAGATGTGAAATACATGAAAATTGTAGTAAGCCTTAAAACTTGTACATGAAAGTTAAAAAATACAGGCGCCCCCCCCCCCCACCGCAACTTTTCACAAAAGCCCAGCCACTCCCTGTGATGTGGCCCCATTCACAAATTAGACAAAGATACAGGCAGCTAATTTTGGGATACTTCTTGAGATTTTATTATCAATCAGAAGTGTGCAGAGTGATAGGATATATTTCTACAAACCATTTGACTTCTCATCTGGAATCACCAGAGATATCAGAAAGAGCTTTTCTGCTATGTACCCTGAAAGATTTTTCTACAGCAAAACAAAGCCTTCTGCTTATTTAGCTAAGCCCTGATAAAGCAAAGAAGCTGCAGGAGCAGGGGAAAAGACAATTAGTTCCTAACAAATAAATTGAGCTGATCCTGCTCTGATAAGCACTGCAACGCAGGAAGCTAACATCATCAGAAGTGCTTGTAGTTTCTCTCCAGGCTGCATTAATTTTCACTCCTTGACCATCAACTATATATCATGCAGGAGCTAAAGAATAATAATTAGAGCAGTTGAGGTCAGCAGGACCTGAATGAGTTATTAGTGTACCGTGCCCATTGATCGCTTAATAGCCTCTTGAAAACAGACCCTCTACTTCAAGAATGGAACCACACTGGTAAGCTATCTGCTGCTGTACTGTCAGGCAGTGACTGCAACAGCTAGCTGTCAGATTTTTCTTGTCAATCTAAATGTCGATTTTCATTTCTCTGTCAACAGGCTCAGCAATTTTAGGTTCAGATTTGAGCACAGCCTCATTTTTGAAAGGCCACTCTTTTTGAAGGAGGGGGAAAGGAGAAAACCCCCTGCTGTTCAAATGCTTCTGTGATGCAAGATCTCAGCCTGAGAATTTTTCCTCACAAAAAGCGCATAGGAAGTCAACTCTGTAATCCAGATCAGGAGAGGAACAGGGAACAACCAAACAATAACCCTTGAAAAGATATTAAACATTATGCCAGGTTGTATGGAGCACCAAACTAGAATTTAGCATTGCCTACAGACAACCTTCTGAAAACCTGGGAGAACATTTGGGCTGGACACTCTTCTTTCTGCATGCTAAGAAGACGACTCTTAATAAATTGTGCTTTCCCTTCTTCCATTCTTGGCTGATCATTATGAACTAAACAGGAATCGTGATTTAAAAACAATCTTTCTTGCCAATCGCTAAGAAAGTCAGTAACCAATTCTTTTAAATCAGAGTTTTGATTTACAAACACAAAATGTGGAAAGCTAAATTAAGTTGGGCAAAATTCTTCTTCTGGCTCTCCAGTAGAAGAGAGGGGAATGGACAGTGCAGAAATCTGAGGCTTCACTTAGGTTTGCAAAAAATTGAAGAGTTGTTTTTTTTGTTTGTTGTTACATGCAAATACAATTTAGTGGGAAAAACCTGAAAATCAACTCCTGAATCTAAGAAAAGAGAGACAAACTCAATGTTCCTAGAGGAGATAGGCTTTTCAAAACAAAGCAATTCAGAAAAAGTAGATTATCCCCAACAGTCATCCCCTTTAAGAAGTGCTTCAAATATTGAAGGCGTCACTGCAATAAAATTAGAGGAGGCACTATTCCTCTACTCACCTCCCCCGAGTAACTGTATTTTCCTTTCAGAATTTGCCGATACAAGCGGGTGCGGTTATCATCCTCAAAAGGCATAGTCCCACTTAGTAGGATGTACGAGATCACCCCAAGCGCCCACATGTCCACAGAGTTAGTATAAGGCTTTCTGACCAAGATCTCTGGGGCAATATACTCTGGTGTCCCACAGGTAGTCTTCATTAAGCAGTCATCTCCTTTCTTCCGAGCACTCGCCAGCCCAAAATCTGTGATCATTATTTTAGAATCCATACCTGGGTGATAATAGAGCAAGTTCTCTGGCTTCAAGTCTCTATGAGTTATGCCCAATGTATGCAAGTATTTAACGCCATCCAGTACCATCTGTAACACTCGGGTAGCATCTCTTTCTGTGAAAGACCCTTTAGCAATAATACGATCAAACAATTCGCCTCCTGTGGCCAGTTCCATCACCATGTAGACACGTTCCTGAGTCTCAAAAACTTCAATGAGTTGGATGATGTTGGTATGCCGCACTCGGCGTAACACGCACAGCTCTGATTCGCATACTTCTCTCCCCTCACGGTATTTGGTCTCTATCAACTTGATTGCATAAGGTTGTTTGGTAGCTTTGTGCTCCACTCGTACCACACGACTAAAGCTACCTCGGCCAATCAGAGCTTTGATATCATACTTGGCTGTCACTCTGGGATCAAATTTGGCCCGGTACTTTGCCACTCTGTTTTTGCGGGGCTCTGGCTGTTCCACATATGGATTGGTGTGACATGGAGGAGAAGGAATAGTAGATTTGATGGCATCTCCATCACCTTTGATGAAATGCTTATATATGTCAGTTTTATAACCAGTGTATGGCTCAACCTTTTTAACGAGATCCAAATGAACATCCTTGGGAGGCTCGGGAAGTACTTTGCTAGTCCCACAGCCCATCACTGAATGGTACTAGTCATCCATCAAAATGGTCTCCCAGAATAGCACCACAGCAACCATATCTGGAACAATTCCAACCATTGCAACATCCCAAGAAGCTGAAGAGAAAGAGAGAACAATCAATGTGCTTGCTCAAGTTAATGTTCCTTCCCATTCTGCATCTAGGCTCAGTTCAAACATCCAGAACTTTTCAGAAATATCAAAAATGCTGTAGCCAAAAAATATCCAGTTTCTATGGCTAGAAAGCATTAGGGTTTCAATGTTAATAATACCTGTTCTGGGAATTATTATGGTTTAAAATTGGAGCTGGAGTTGAAGCAGCCCCCCTCCTTACAACAGTTTAGGAAAGGAGTCCCCAAACTTTTCAGTTCATCGATCCCTTCATGAAGTTTCATATTCTTCATTGACCCCCAAACATCATATGAAAACAATTTAATAAATACTACTTTAACTAATAGTACTACAAATAATAATAATAACAATAATAATAATGGATAGTCCCATCAATCATTGAGGGTCAGCTTTAACTATTTTGTTTAGGAGAAGGCTTAGAATCTACCTTTTTAGATAGGTAGTTTATAGTTTAGAAAATTTTAGTCTTTAGTTTTAACTAACTATTTTAAAGTTTTCTGAATTTTATACACACACGTCTATGTGTATGTGTTTATAAATCACCTAAAGCCACAGGAATGGACAACCAATATATTTATAAATATATACAGTGAACAGTAGTTAATACATTAATGAACAACAGATTTCCAAGAAATTATTAACAGATCATATCTCTCATTTAAAAATCTTCAGGACATGCTTGGAAGATGGAGCTGTGCATCATAAGCCCTCTTGAAGTTTTGCTTGCTAATGCAAACAGGAGAGAAGGAAGATGAGAATAAAGGAAACTGGTACTTTAGAATGTTTAAAGGACTATGCACCATCATCTAATCAAAAAGCTAACAAGGCTATTATAATTATAATAATCAATTACTTAATGCACTCCATGTGGATCTTAGAACTGTATAATACCAGTCAGATTTCCTAGACTTAGTTTTAACTACATTTCCCTTGAAAGTGTGCCTTTGTCCAGAACTCACACACACTTCCTAGGGCAAACTAAACTTGTATATTTTGATATATAACATACAGGTAGTCCTTGTTTAGCAACTGCCTCTTTAAGCAACCACTTGCAGTAATAACAATGATGAAAAAGTAACTTTGCAACCAATCCTCGCATTTACGACCCTTGCAGGTCTATAAAGCAAAGGAAAGCTGAAGTAAGATCATAAGCACAGTCACAGTTTCACTTAGCGATTGCTTCACTTAACTACCAAGTTGCTGGTCCCAAATGTGGTCGCAAATGAGGACTACCAGTATAAGCCAGCAACATACAATTCTGAGGTTTGAAAAGCTGCAGCACGCAATGTCTATTTACCCACATATTTATGAAAATATGTTCTTCATAAAAAAATGTAGATGTGCCAAATAGTCTAATGATCACAGGGGTATTAATTAAAGTATCTATGAAGAGTCATGACTTTTAACCACAGATAAACATTCTTCATATTTATCAACAGTTTTGTGCAATACAGGCAGCCTGAAAAACAGCCACTGCCCTATTTCTGGTAAAGCAAAACTATTTGAAAGGACTATGATGGCACGGTAATTAGAGCTGCTTTTGCACATCTTAACTAGAAGTAATGTATTAATTGATTTAAATATACTTAGCTGCATGCATATAAAACAGTAGCTGAGTTTCAAACTAATACAAAGAACCCACCAAATTAAAGCGATTTCCCATCTTTCTTTGTGTGTAGCAAACTTACCCAAGGAATTTATTCCAAGGCATGTTTTTTTTTAAAGAAAACTTTTCACTTAAGACAAAGATCAGAAAGAGAATGATTGTGTAGGAAGAAACCCTCAATAACAAGAAACAAGATGTTTCTCTATCTCCTATTTTGTACATCTCGTGCTTCCTTGACACAATGAAGAAAGTAACATGTGCCCACACAGTTTTGAAGCTGAAATGTCATTTCTGTAACAGCACTTTTTTTTCTTACACAAGTAACAAGATACGCGGCATCCACAGAACCATCTTAATTTTGTATTGGATCAAAAAAGTTGGGAGATTTTTGTCTAAAACATTCATTTCCTTTTCTCCCTTGCTCAAGAATTCTTCAGCAACTGCCTGTCAGCATAAGCTAAGCTTGATTAGAACTAGCACATTCTGAATCCATGTTTGCACAACCTATTGAGCTGTGTTTACTTTAAGCATGCTTTACCCAATGAAACACATTATGAGTTTCACATGACACACTTAACCACAAACTAATTACATGGACTGGATCTGCATCACACCAAGCTAAAATGTGGTTGGCTAAGAGCGTTGCACACAAGGACAGGCCTGACACTTCACAGCAGCTTAAAAGTTGATCCATAAAAAAGAGATCAAAACTCAACAGTGAGAAACTCATTTCAACCCACAGGTCTAATGCACCGTTGCTCTAAACCAGTGTTTCTCAACCTTGGCAACTTGAAGATGTGTGGACTTCAGCTCCCAGAATTCCCCAGCCAGCAATAAAAGGTCCGGGTAGCAGGTGATGTGAAAGGATTTGCCAATGCCTGGAGTGCCACCCCAATCAGAGTTGAAAAGGCGAGGCTAGATGAACGTGGGGTCTGCCTGGGGCATATTCCTTTGACTAAAATATTGGATCTATATATTTAAAAAGCCTAAGTCTAGTCTTTTCTCCAGTGGGTATCTACCCCTCCTATTTCTCCTTTACCGATCTTCCTATCCTGCTCCCTGAAGCTCTAACTCAGCCTCCTGAAGTGCCTCTTTCCAGATGGGTTGGGCTAACACGCCAGCTGGGGATTATGGCTGCTGGAGTCCCAACACAGCTGGAAGACACGGGTTGGGGGTAGCCAGCTGTCAGAACGCGGCGCTGCATTTCCCAGACCGCTGCCTGGCGTGGAAGAACTCGCCCGTGGGAGAGGGCCGCCTGAGGGCCTGGCCTGGGAGGCCCAGCCTCGCCAGGCGCCCTACCAGAGGACAACCGAAAATGGGCCTCGCACACGGAGCAGGTAGAAAAGAAGCGCAGGCCCAGGAGCACCAAGGCGGCCAAGACCTTCCAGCCCAGCCCCGCCCCGCCGAGGCTACGCGAGGGAGAAGGACCAGGACAGGTGCGGCGCCCCGTCCCGTCCCGTCGAGGGCCGGAACTCGTCGGGCCGCCCCGCACCGACTCACCTCAGCCCGCGGCGGGGAGGGCGCCGGGTCCAGCCCAGGCCCATAGGGGGGTGACGGCCTGGCGCTGGCGTCATGGCGTCATCAACGCGCGCGCTCGGGAACGCAACGCATGGTACGAGGCCGCTTTCCTCTGCTGTGATTGGGCGAGCCGAGCCGAGGGCGGGACTCTCCGTGGTCCTTATTGCTTAGGGGGGAGAGAGGGAGGAAGAGTTGGCGATGGTTGCTAGGGAACCCTAAGCCCCGCCTGCAGAGGGCTGTCATTCTTCTTTTCGCCCCGCCTTTCTGCAAATCGATACCTTCGTGGGTCACCTGATGCGCGTTTGTTTAAAGAGCGAGCCTGACGCTGCTTCCTTTTCAAAAGAAACCTTGCTATTTTAAAACGAGCGGATGAATGAGCGTTGGTTTTTAATTGCTTTAATTGTTTTTAACGTTTGTATAGCTGCCTTATTTCTTTGGCTCGGGGCTGTTGTTTATGTTTCAATTGTAAATCGTTCAGAGTGACGCGCGTGAGATGGGCGGCTGTATAAATCGAATGAATGAATGGAATGACAAATGTAGAAAGCAAATGCGATCGCCGTGGGGGAAAAAAATCGATTCGGATGCTGTGACATTCTGAAAATGCCCACTTCTGTTATTAAAAAAGAGAAGCAGGGCGGCAGTGCAGACATCAGTGGCTATCATAACAAATTCAAGTAACCTGAAATAAGCAATTCGAGAGAAAGAGTTATGCAGCCACTATAGACGCCACATATGTTGAATATATACTCAGTTTAACAGAATGTAGTTGGAAATTCTCAGCCTTTTAAAATCTGGAATACGGAATTTGTTGATGCTTCCTTTTATTGTGATTTCTTGGTTTGATTGTTATGAGCCGCCCTGAGTCATGAGAGTTGAGCAGCATACAAGTTTAATTCATCATCATCATCATCATGATGTAATTATTAACGGTCAGAGCCATTATGGAGGGGAGAGAGAAGGTAGTTCTGATATCCAGAGGCAACAGTTTTGTGTGTGTTCAGAAGTCTCACTGAAGCAAATGGGGCATTATTCCAATGTACAGATAGCACACTCTCTGAATTGACCCTTTCCATTCAGTCAAGAATCTTGGAAGCAAAAGTTTAATTAGCGGCAGATTAGCATGTGTGGTTTCAGTAAGAAAAATTCTCAGTGCAACCTCAACCCTTAGCAAGGTGGTTTCTGCTCAAAATTCCTGGCTAACCGTTCCTTTCTCCTCCAACCAGGAACTCTTATATTGTGTATCCGCTGGGTTTTGTCCTCCAAAGATCACTGGCATCGGGTTCCTTGCCTAGATGTAGAGACAAAGACCCGGCACCTGTCCTGGATCAAATCCTTCTATTAAAATCCTTTTGACTGAGAGCAAGGTTTCCTCTTTTATATACCCCAATTTGATATGCTTCTTTTAATTGATGCAGTTGGTTTCTTTATGGAAAACAGTAAACTTTGGAGCCTCATTGGCATCATTGGAAAAATAATGCCATTAGTATACTCCAATATTCTCATGATAATAAAAACCAGTTCATTGTCCCACTGATACCAAGTCTTCTAAAGACAGCCTGGGAATGCTTACTGATGCTGTAGAAAGCTTTTATTGTGTGCTTTTACAAAATGATTAGTTCTAAATTGTTTGCTGCAAACACTTTTTTTTTTTGAGATTTGCAGTGTCCCCTTAATTCAGATTTTTTTAAGTTGTTTTTTTGGGGGGGAGAGGGTAAATGTGTAAGATTATACTTGCTGCATATTTTCTTTTTCTGTTTTGCAAAGTGTTCTATCTTTCTGTGTTAAGCTCAGATTGTGGACATGTTTATAATGGGGGTTACAAGCGGGGATTTATTGTACTAAGCTCCACCCAGGGACGCAGCTTGTGAAATGGTTAGATGGGTGATTATTACTAGCTCAAATGGTTTTCCAAAGAGTTCATATTCATCTACAAAGGAAAAGGTGATCAACAGCTCTTTGTTCTAAGGCAGCATGTCTGATGGAATATGTCTACGAAGGGGGAGGTGACGTGATGGACAACAGTAATGCAGCAGGTTCTCAGGAAGGAGGGAGCAGATTCCAGGAAGGAGGGGCGAGACGAGACAACACAGTCTGGAGCTGGATCATGGGAAGCAGAAGAGATTTAGGATAGACACTCCCTAGAATCTCCCATGGTATATCCACTAGGTTAGAGTAATACAGATTTAGGTTGTCAAGATTCTGTCTATATGGTATAAGGTAAGCAATAAAAGAACTAAATTTGGCTGGACTGTTTCTCTGTCGTTCTTGGGATGGGCCTGACAGTATGCCACTGAATAACAGCTACTGTAAAAGGAAATGTGAGAAAGAATTATTCCCTTCATGTCCAGCTTCTCACAGAAGTGGATTGGCCATTGTGGGGCTGAGGACAATGGATCAGATAGGGTTTTGGCCTGACTTGGCAAGACATTTCTTACATCTGTCGCTTTTAAGGATCTGAGTTCAGGTATGGGGAAATACTTCTGCTCTCCAAAGTTCTAGTTTCTACTATTATGAAAAATAGTCTTCACAGAAGACCGTATTTATTTACCATTAGGTTTATATCTGGTCTTTCACTCCAAGTGGCGTATAGAGCCATCCCCACCTCCAAAATATTCCCTATAACAGCAATCCTGTGAAGGAAGCTGATCTGAAAGAGTGACTGGCCAGTGTCACCCAGTGACCTTTCACACCTGAAAGCGGACTTCCTAACCTTATCACACCAACCTTCAACAACAGGCCCAGGCCAAAGAGAATAAGAGCCAGGAAAATGTTCTTCTCCAAGAAAGAAAGGTAGATAGATCTGAGTGGAGTTGAAAAATAACGGATTCAGATTCAATCCAACTTCACACACACCACTGCAGGGGACCTTCCAAGAGAATAATTTGTAGGTCCCTCCTGCAACAGCTTGGGAAAATAGGGAAATGGCAGCTTGATCTTTTGTACCATTGCACCTAAACACACTGAAAACCAAGACTTTAGATATACTTGCATCTGCAGAAGCTCGGGCTGCACTAAACATTCATTTTGAAAGATAAAGTGACTCTAGAACATTCACAGTTGCCCCATTTCATTGATTTACAAGAGATCAGGCAACCTCTTGTTATGTTTCATGTAAGGTTTAATTTCCTAACCTCTAGCCAAACGATTGCCATTTTGCATTTCACCAATTAAAAGGGCTATTGTAGGGTCTTAGAATATGTTACGGTATGACTTGGTTCTGACATTGCACATAGTTTAGTTTTGGCTAGTGCATATCGTGTGAAGCTAATAATTGTGATTTATAAACCATGGCTGATAACTTCTCATGATGTGTGAACTCAGCCAACGAAAATGTAACACTGGTTAATGAAGCCATCGTTTAGCAGAAAGTGTAATTTCAGCTGATAATGCATAAGGCCCAGGTTCAAATTTCTACTCCTGCCATAAAACTTACTGTCACTTACTTATTTTCAATCTAACTTACTTCAAAAGGTGGTCAGGAGTGAACAGAGTGAAGAGGGGAATCATGGTTATACTGAGCACAAGGAAAGATGGATTTTTATTATATAACTATGTATTTTTAAAATTCCTTTCAAGCTGAAAGTGCTATGGCTCATGTCTAAGCAGGTGGAGAACCACTTATGTGAGTCTGCCTCTGACTATTGGGGAGAAACGTGTGGGCGGGGGGAGGGAT